CAGTGGCGCACTGATGATGTCATCAACTACAAATGTTCATGCGTTTAAAAAACTGGTCACTTCCTGTTTGGCAGGAAGCCGAGGAAAGATGAGAATCTGAGCGAGGAGGCGGCCAAAGTGATTGCGGCGCTGCCCGACCTGTCCTTCATGCAGGCCAAGGTGCTGATGTTTCCCGCCACGCTGACGCCGCTCGGGTCACACGCCACGCCAGACTGAAGCCCCGGCCACGCCTCCAGAAATCACCTGCTCACTCTGCTGGCCCCGCCCATTTTATCAAGCTCTTGTTTTTTTTAATTAAGTTAGCTTTTTGTTGATTTTCAGTTATTTCTCTGGATAAAGTGAAGCTTTTCTGATTATTTGGTGGGGCACGGCGTGGAGGAGGGGCAGCACGTGGTAAAGCTGACAGGAAGTGGGATTTGTGCGTTCAGGCCGTGTCGGGTGTGTGTGTGTGTTGTTGTGTGTGTAAATAATCAGGGATTCAATGTTTTTTTTTTTTTGTTTTTTTTTTAAATGGGCTCCTTGATTCCTGCTGATTTTACATGTGTGGGGGCGGAGCTTGAAGGAAGCTGAATCAAACTGAAGTGGAAGTTTCTGTGAATTCATACATTTATATACGTATATATAAAATCTGAATCTATTTATGGACTTGAAACCACACTGCCTGCAGAATCCCCCTGAGTGTTTCGTCCCCTCGTCTTCGTTCGTCCTTCAGTTTTAATCTGTTTGTTTTTTTCCGTGAAGCTTTTTAAAATAATCCTGTACACCCTCGCTCGTCTGTTTTTGTTCTTCACGCCGGCGCGTCTGCCATCAGACGTTCCGGTTGTTACTTTGTTTAAAAACAGGATGATCGGTTTCGAGCGTCGGCGAGCTGAAGGCCGCTCGCATCGAAGGGGAACGAAGGGACCAACGGCTGCTTCCATCGGTCTGTTTTCTGTTGCTCATACTACTGTCGGCCGAGCCTGGAGGATTTTGCACATTGTAAAGATGAAATGGATGTAATCATAGTTCACTGTGGCTTTAGACTGTGTGCAGTTAAACTATGGACTGTAAATGTACGGGGAGTTCCTATGGGACACGGAATCAGTGGGAGAGCCTGTGGGAGGTTATCATGCATGCCCAGGTTCTTTCAGACCACTGTGTAAATTTGACTTTTAGTGTACACAACAAATTAAACTAATTTAAGAGAAAAGCTGCTGCCTCGCCTCCTTTGTGCTCCTCCTCTGTTTGTTTGGTGTGAAGTTGCTGTTTAAGGGTTCAGCTCGGGGCAGATCCAGAGCCACAAAAACAGCTGATTTATTCAACTTCTCAATTCAGTTTCATTTATAGATGTCAAATCACAACAACAGTCTCCTCAAGGTGCTCAATGCTGTAAGGTAAAGAAAACGATACAGAGAAGAAACCAACAATTATATGATCCCGTCTGTCTCCTGAATCCAAACTGGAAGCTGGTTCCATAGAAGAGGGGCCTGAAAACTGAAGGCTCTGCCTCCCATTCTACTTTTAAATACTCTAGGAACAACAAGTAGGCCTGCAGAGCAAGAGCGAAGTGCTCTAATAGGGTGATATGGTACTACAAGGTCATTAAGATAAGATGGGGCTGATTATTTAAGACCTTGTATGTGAGGAGCAGGATTTTGAATTCTGGATTTAACAGGAAGCCAAAACAGGAGAAATCTGCTCTCTTTCTAGTCCCTGTCAGGACTCTTGCTGCAGCATTTTGGATCAGCTGAAGGCTTTTCAGGGAGTTTTTAGGACTTCCTGATAATAATGAAGAAAGAACTCGGCAGCATGTAAAATGACCTGTGATTACAGAGACAACCCAGGCCTACTGAACATGCCAGTCTCTGCTCTACATATGAGGACACTGATTTTAAATTATCAGTGACATTAATGACGTTTTACTTTGACTCTCAGTTCCCGTGTGACACAAAGCAGTTATGCATCTGTGTGTGCATGATGACCAAAGAGTTTGAGATTATGAGGTGCTGTCAGCACGTCCAGTCAGCATCAGCACTGGATCTTTATTCTTCTCTCAAAGAGGAAAACTTTCATACACGCTCAGAAGATTCGGGTTCTGTTTGGCTCTACCTTTACACGTGAACAAACATTGTCAGTGATAGAGTTTAACAACACACAGTCTCTCAGTGACAGTGAAGCTGACTTTAATGCACTTTTTCAGGATTTCTCTCACTGAACAAGAAAAAGAACAGAAACACTTCAGTTCAAGTTAAAAGTCTCTGAAATTTTGCGAATTTTATTTTGTTTTGAGAAATGGTAATTACATAGTTGTAAAATGTCAGTGTCACTATCCAGCAGCACTTTAACAGATTAAAAGAATATTGAGCAAAACTGAGTTCAGCTTTTTACTGTGTCTCTCCACATCAGCCCCGTCTAATGTGGCCCCCTGGGAACATTAAGTTGGTCATCCTGATACAGACAAACATAATCTAAATGAACTGATAACTAACAAGAAATGTACATCTTTACAGAGTTCTTCACTCAGACGGAAACTACACCCAAAATCCTCATGCTTGTCTCGCCACTCATCACCAGGGCTGGGTCATCTAAAGAACGAATGTATCACGCATCAACACAGCAACGTATACCTGGCAAAAACTGCCTAAATAATAAAATATAATATAATAGCGCACGTTAAAAATATATGTATACGTTTTAAGTATAACACGTCATCTTGTTTGTGTGTCTTGACGACGTGTAAACGCCCATCTTCACAGAACTACATTACCCATGATTCCAATCTGCGGCGTTTCCGGGTAGGTAGTGAGACAGCCATATTTGATTCGATTATGCTGTTCTGGCTGCGACGGGCAGTTTAGCCACTCCATCAGAAAAAACGGTGTTTTTTCTTCACTGCGAGGCCAGTTACAGATTAATCCGCGACGACCTGCAGCTGAATCCACCGCAGTGACGGTTCTGAGCCTGTAGTCAACGATGAATCCTGAATAGTAAGTGTCAGTTTGATGTCGGCTGTGACCGTTCCGGCGGAGTTGGAAGATTAGCCGAGGAGCTATGCTAGGCTAAGCTAATGAAAGCGCAAGCTAGCCGGGCGGACTGAAGATGACCGTCCACTGCTTTGTCTCTCAGTTCCGTTAACGGGCTGTGAACGCAGCGTAGACCGAGTGACAGCGCTCAGATATAACACCAAAGGGCCGCCTAATGGCACGGTTGTCCGGGCTCCGTGCGCCTGAACCGGCGGATTTTTCGATTTCGCTAACAGTTTGTCAGAGACGCTAGCCACTAGCATGCTAACAGCAGCTACGTAGCTTAACGGTCAGGGTGTGTTATTGACCCACAGGCTCGGCTCACTCGGTTCGATTCCAGTGTCAGGCCCGGGGTTCGGGTTTCAGCTCCGTCAGTGAACCCGAACCGAACCGGGCTGGGTGTGACGTATGCGCCGCAAACAGGAAGTCTGCCCGTTATTGGGTAATATGTTGTTACTTCATTGCAGTTGACACCAACGAACAGCTGATCCATCAGATAATCGATTAACCAATCGGGCGTTTAACCCCCATGGTGTACTTTAACCAGAATCCACAGTACTTTGATCGTTTAGTCAAGTCAAAGGGCTGCTGAACATTATCACACATTAAGATACACAAAGCCTGTTTACTTAAAGTATGAACAGCAGTTTCAGCGTTCCTGCTGTGTTCATGTGTGTGTGAGGTACAGGACACACACACACACAGGCTTCGTTCATCCTGTGTTACTGCAGCTGAAACATCATCATTGTCGCTTCTGTGTATTTATACAGCTTAAAACTTAATAACAGACTTCTGCTGTCAGCATATCAAATATTTGAGTAACAAATAAAGTCAAAACAGAACAATTAAATATTCTGTGTTATAGCAGGTAATGTAGTAATAATGGGAGATTATTAACAGAATAATATGAGTATTAATGTTGATGACTGATTATGATTATGATGTCACTCCTTGTTTTTAATCAAAGTCAACATCTGACTCGTTATCGTTAATTGAACAAAGTCTGTTCAGACACGTTCTTCCAAACTGTGTCACTAAAGTGTCTGCAGGTAAAAACACCTGTTAGTCCTGAGGAACACATTATCTTGCCTCACCTGCTTTCCTGTGTGTGTGTGTGTGTGTGTGTGTGTGTGTGTGTGTGTGTGTGTGTGTGTGTGTGTGTGTGTGTGAAGCCCCGCCCACAGTAAAAGTCCAGCACGGAAGCAGCTGTGTGTTGTTGGACTTGTTTTCTTTAAAGGAGCATGCACACCAAACGCACACTCATAAAGACCGGCAGCAGTGTGACGCGTGTGTGTAATGATGATGTTTTCTGTCTTCACAGTGACTATTTATTCAAACTGCTCCTGATCGGGGACTCTGGGGTCGGAAAGTCGTGTCTCCTGCTCCGGTTTGCAGTGAGTGTTTCTGACACAATGTTGTCATGGTAAACTGCATTTTGTAGCACAGATTCACCTGTGTGTGTGTGTGTGTGTGTGTGTGTGTGTGTGTGTGTGTGTGTGTGTGTGTGTGTGTGTGTGTGTGTGTGTGTGTGAGCAGGATGACACGTACACAGAGAGCTACATCAGCACCATTGGCGTGGATTTCAAGATCAGGACTATCGAGCTGGACGGGAAGACCATAAAGCTGCAGATTGTAAGCACACAATTGGTCACACGCGGTGATGATGTCACTCTGCTCTGACTGACGCTCTGCTTTTCCTCCTCAGTGGGACACGGCGGGTCAGGAGCGCTTTCGCACCATCACGTCCAGTTACTACAGAGGAGCTCACGGCATCATTGTGGTTTACGATGTGACGGACCAGGTGAGTGCCGACGGCGCTCAAAGTGTGACGTGTGTGGTGTGCAGCAGGGCTCAACGTGGCTGATGACCCGGGACAGCTGCTCACGGTGTCGGTACCTGACAGCAGCCCTAAAACTCAGCATGCACTCACTCACTTTAAAGCTTGTTATGTTTTCTGATACACGGTTATAAGAGCTACATATTAATCTGTGGCAGTCAGCACCGCCGCCTCACAACAGGAAGGCTCCAGCTGGTGCTTCCTGCGTGGATTCTGTGTTTGTTCTCCGGCTCCCTCCCGCAGTCCAAACACATGATAAAAACAGTCTGAAGGCTTGGTGGTAATAACAGAAGCTCAACTAGCGGCGCTGATGAAGGAAATACAAACAGTTCGATTCTGACCCGTAACATCTGCTCAGATCCAGGAAGTGCTCATCAGCAGCATGTTTTCCATAAGCTGCTGATGGTTTCAGCGACAGAGACGTCTGTGAGTCTCCAACAGGTCCAGTCAGTCATTGATGAGCAGGGTGGGGGGGCACCCTGAACGAGGGATGAGCTGCTTCTCACATGTCCAGCTTACCAAAATAAAAGCCTTGTTCAGACGCTAACTGAGGGCCAGGATCTAGATGTTTTATGTCGTTTTTGCACTTCCTGCTCACTTGTCTTGATATAGATTATTTTTGTTAATTTCATCTGTTCCGTAGTGGAAAATGGCCAGTGCTCTTATTTTGAAAGTTCAGTCTTCAGACCCTTCCCATCTCGTGTTCATTGGCCAGTAGATGTTCAGCTTCACTCGCAGCTCAAACACAGCGACTGAAGAGCAGCGAGAAAACCGGCCGGACGAGTTCAGACACACAATGCAGCCTGACACAGGAAGACGCCCTGCAGCAGCCTCGCTGAGCGAGCAGCCGACCTGACGTGTTTCTGTTCTGTTGGACGGCTCCCATCATGCGGGACAGACCCAATGTTAAACTTGCTGTTTAATGTCAGACACACAGATTCACAAAGGTGTGCAGGGAGGAGGAGGATTGGTTCCTGCCTGCACCGTATGTACAGGAGCATGCACGCACTCTGAACACACGCAGGAAGTGAGGTGGGGTCAGGGAGGGGCTGTCTGTTGGGTATTTGGCATAATTGTGTATGAAACTGTGAAATGAGTGGAGTAAACACCGCCCCCTGCAGGCGGCTGTCGGCAGTGTGAAAAGCTCTGTGTTCACGTCTCTGTCCTCAGGAGTCCTTCAACAACGTCAAACAGTGGCTACAGGAGATCGACCGCTACGCCAGCGAGAACGTCAACAAGCTGCTAGTAGGCAACAAGTGTGACCTCACAACGAAGAAGGTCGTGGACTACACCACAGCTAAGGTAAGAGGTCACAGTCTTCCATCAGTGGGCAACAGAAGCACTCGGCGTCCGTAGGTCAGTTAGGATAGAAGGGACTGTTCTGGGGTCAGCCATCAGCACGCTGTCGCCACGTGTCAGGAAGTAGAAAACATGAGTAAGTGGATGCAGATGCAGAGTCAGCACAAGAGGAGGAAGCTGCTGCGCTGACACTCGCTGTGCCATCAGGCCTGTGCTGAGAGTTCCTCCACCTTTGACCTCTGATGATGAAGATTATGGAGTTATATTTATGTCAAAGGCGGCGCGTGACGGAGAAAAAACACGGGTCCTCCTCGCAGTTACACTCCACACACGTGACACACGTCAGTCCCCCGGGTAAACCCGGCCGTTTGTCACTACTTTGGATTTGACCTCTTTGACCTCCACATTTCACCTTGTTTGTTGTCACCGTTTTCAGCACAAACTCATGTTGACGGTTCCTTTGGACACACGGAGTCAGCACAACTGATCTAAGGTCAGGCTGGAAACATCAAATCAGAGCAGAAAAAAGTTCTATTTTACTGTAACAACCACAAACATTAACGAATCATTTTCATAACTTGAAGGACAAATAGAAATTGTACATTTTAAAACCCATACACACGTTTTGTAAACAACAGTTTGTTGCTATTTACTTAAAACTGCAGCCGAGGCGTTTTTCCAAACTATTTACAGAACAATCAGCTGTTCTGCATCAAAGTCACACAAATGATTTTTAATTTTTACTTTCTGTCCGTTGTAAGATAAAGGAGAACGTCACAGCCTGATACCTGCAGGCCTGAGGGTGACATTCAGCATTGTTCTGACACACAACAGAACTACACACTCCAAACACGCCAAATCGCTCACATCCTAAAACTCTCTTTCGCTCGCTCCTTCTCGCCGCTGTCACTCTTAAAACTTCCCAGTCTTCCTAAACAACCAAGCGCCATGTTGCCATATCATTGATTTAAATTTGGTTTTTATTTTTCCACCAATAGGAAAGCGTGGAGTTGTTTGGCTTTTGCTTTTGGTTGAAAGCAGCGAGCGCTCTCGACCGCCGTCCTTAGAAGACGCTGTTTTTACCGTTTCTTCCCTCCGCAAACACGACAATGGCGTTGGAAATGCTGAGCTGGCAGCAGATCACTTACTCCAGGAACCAGACGATTCATCTGTTTTTTGATTGGCACAGAAACGGTATCAAGTATAGCTTTGGTCCAAACAGACAGACAACAGCACGTACGCGCTTCAGACGGCGCCTGCACCTGTACACGGCTCTGCAGCATGAGAGCGACCCACTTCAGCTCTCGGTGGTCCCACTCGTGGCTGCTGAGCTCTACACCTGTGACTCATGAATCTGTGTCTGATGAATTGAACTGTTTGTGGGTTTTGCGACTTCCTTAGAAGGAGCGGTGAGAACGCGTCAGTTTAAAAGCCGCAGTAACCCGTGTTCCAGCTGTGCGACGGGCAAATGGGGTCTGAGGGGACTGAGTCACTGCGGGAGCCTCTGCTGGACGTCAGAGGAACTGCAGCTGTTTTTCAAATCAAATCACTTTTATTCTCACATCACATGTGCAGGTACATTGGTACAGCACATGTGATGTGAAATTCTTGTGTGCGAGCTTCACAAGCAACAGAGTTGTGCAAAATACAAGAATGTAAACAAGCAAAATACAAGAATGTAAACAAGCAAAATACAAGAATGGCTACATCTGAAACTAATAAATATATGTACAATATATAATAGTGTATGCATTTCTGGATGTGTATACTAAATATTTTTCTGTGTGTGTGTGTGTGTATACACATATTTTACAAATTAAATAGAGTAAACAATAAATAAAATACATAAAAATATGTGTTTGATGTGAAGCGATCCACTCACAGTGTGTCCCTCCTCCCTCTGCAGGAGTTTGCAGATAACCTGGGGATCCCCTTCTTGGAGACGAGCGCCAAGAGCGCCACCAACGTGGAGCAGGCCTTCATGACCATGGCGGCCGAGATCAAGAAGCGGATGGGCCCGGGCGCCACGGCCGGCGCCGCCGAAAAGTCCAACGTCAAGATCCAGAGCAAGCCAGTCAACACCTCGTCTGGGGGCTGCTGCTGAGGCCCGAAACCGCCACACGCCGAACCCGCCCCTCCCCCGAGTCTCAATGTAACCATGGCAACCACAGAGTGTGAGAGAGAGAGAGAGAATGAGACAGCACGAGTGAGAGAGAGACTGAGTGGTTTGTAATTGTGTGTGCAGCTCCACCAGGCCCCACCCCTTTGTCAAAGACCCCGCCCTCGCCCCCACCCACACCGGGCTTTCTTCTAATTTCCTAAAAGTAAAGCGACGTGTCCCATTTTTAACAGTGAAGCCCCGCCCCTGTCTCCTCTCACATCTCGAGTTATTCGGCCCGCCCAGTGAAGCACATGCTTAAACCAGCATCATGCATGCCCCGCCCCCGCCCCGCCCCCACTGATCCAACTTCACAGGGCCGCCCTGAAAACGCCGTGCCTTCAGGCCGCAGACCCTCGTCACATTCTTGCCTTCGGCGCTCTCGTGTTGTTGGCTGAGAACTCCACCCCCCCCAACATTCCTGTACGCGCCCATAAGCATGTGCTGCATCTGGACGGGTTCCTTCGCCCATGTTTCTCCACCTACAGCACAACCACGCCCGGAGAAGAGCCCTGCTGAAGAAGAAGCTCCAAACTGTACATATTTATACATACATGTATGATCTGCAGAGTAGAGCAGCGGCGGCGACGCGCTGCACGTAGAAATCTCAGCACGTGATTTGTGGCTGCGGACGTGACGTTTTTGTGGCACAAATTCAAATATTAAACCATGAAGGAGATCTTTGATAACTGCTCGTGCTCCTGCTGTCTTTCTTTACTTCCTGTCAGACCTCACACCTGGGCACGCCCAGCGCTCACTTTATTAGGCTTCAGGCCGCTTAAACCAGAAACAAACGAAGGTAAAACCACCTTAATGTCATTCAACGTTGTCATGGTAACTGGTGCTGCACATGTGACCTGCACTGGAGCAGGCTAGAGGGCAGCACCTGGTTACCAATCAGATCTCAAGAAGCTTCCCTGTGCGAGCAGATGGAAGGTCTGAAGTTAGCTCGAGTGTCAGAAACCACACGTACGTATTGTACGCAGGCTCCCGCGACCCTCAGTGTTACACTACACAACATAAATGTCGCACAAACTACAGTTTTTATTAAAGGGTCATAAACAGGAAGTGTCACACGTAATGCTTTAACAATGCTTCCTGTTCATAAAATGTCTGGCAAGACGTACCTCAGGCCCTGCACGAGGGCAGAGACGGGAGCAGGCACCACAGGCTGAACCTGGTCTGCTGGTCCTGTGGGTACAGCTGTGCACACCGCTCGCATAGTCAGAAGAACATCCGGCGAACCTCAGCGTGCCATCACTGAGCGAGGCGACAGCGCCTCCAACAGGACGGGCGCTCGATGCCCCAAACCTCTGCTACAGAGGAGTCTGCGTGTACGAACACTGGGGGACGAGAGGAGCAGCACATCCAGGTGCTGCTGCAGGTTCCCTCCAAATCCGTACGTCCCCACAGCCAAACGGCTGCAAGACGGTGAAAACATTTAAGTTGCAGCAAAGTAAAAACTCTTTCTGCTTTTTAAGTTTTTCTTAAAGATGGAATAGAAAGTAATCTTCCTCCACAAAGACCTTTAAACTCTGAGCTCTAAAGGCTTCTGTGGCACTCTCAGACCTCCGTACCTCAGCTCTGTCCTGTTCCTGGTCTTTATTACACTCTAGTTGAAGGTTTTGAATTTTGTGTCACTTCCTGTCTCTGATTATTTCAAACACAAAAAATGCAAAATCCATAAAAAGATGAAGACAGGACAACCAGGACCAGGTGATCCAGGTGAGCGCTCAGCCTCCAGTGATGATCCTGAGCTGATAACCAATCACTGATCAGTCCTCGTATATCGTCGACTGGATGATTAGAAACGATCAGCTGTGATTTCAGAGATTTTAAAAAGTTCTGCCCACTCTGAGGGTCAGTCAGCTGGTGCAGGTGCAGCAGGAGGGGAGGAGTCAGAGAGCAGGTGGGGTTACCATGGTAACAGAGTTCCCTCAGCTGAGGACAAACAAACTTTTACACAAACCTGGCTTCTGTAAAGAAAAAACTAAAAGGATTTTTTGGATAAACTACAAATATTCTTGAATGTTCAGTCTTACAGCTGTTGACACTTCTTACGTGGTTGGCAACAGTACAGACGTGCTGCACAGCAGCCTTTAAATAACCGTTACTCTGCCTCAGTTTGTTTATCCGCAGCTTTATGAACAAACATAATGTGACACGTACAGATTTCACAACAACTTCCACGTGAGCTTTAAATGAGCGTCCTTCCTTTAACTCTTAAGCTCTCCTCTTCCTCTCCTGTCCTCTCTCATGTTTGTCCATCTCTGTCTGGTCTCTCCCTGTGAAATAAGCAGCTGGACCTTTAGCTGCAACACACTGAGACAAAGTTTGTGATGTTTGTAGAAACGCCACATTTCAAATTACCTGCCACGTGTTCCCTTTATGCTCGCTCCTCTTCTGCAGGGCTAGCTAGATGCTAAAGTACCCAACCCACAGACACCTGCAGAATCAGCTGAATATTATGGACACTGACCGAGCCTTTCCAATGAAGCTCACGTAGATTTGGTCCGTCCGAATATTTCAGGAACTTCAACCGTGTCTTCAGCTGAGCTCCACTCCTGAGGAGCAGCCCAAGCTTCGCTAAAAGGAATTTGTAATTGATGTTTTTGTGTAAAACTGATGACCGAGGGGAGCTGAAGCATTTCAATATTCCTGCTAAAAGGAATTTTTACTGCACATCTCACGTGGTCAGGTGGGAAGTTTTTCATATTTCATAAAGGAAAGATGTTTGCACACACGGAAACTGTTCCCAGAGAAACCGTACGAAGGATTTTCGGGGACTTCTTGACTGTAAGCGTTCGTCTGCTCACAGCGTGCTCACGCACAGGCTGATGCTTTAGGCCACTCCCACAACCTGACAGACGCACAGACTGACCATCCGAGTGGTTTCCTTTCATTTCCAGATGACATTTGTGTTTATTCATCTCCTCGGCTCACTCACATAATAGAAACAATAAAAAAATAGAACTGAAAATGTACATCATACACCTGATACATAGATTTATATAGAATCTTTTTGTGTTTTTGTTTTTTTACATAGGTACAAATGTGAATTATATATAAAAAGACAAACTTATGAATTCACCTTATATTCTTTACACATGATTGAGGGAATCGTACATCAGGACAGGATGAAGAGGAGGCTTCAGGCACTTTCCTTTAACAAACAAAGACACTGCTTTCAGTTCACCTTCCTCGCCACAGACAGGAAAACACACGAGGGACACGTCAGCAGAGACGCAGGTCGGACAGACGGGCGATCCTGCTGAGCGGCGGCGGCGGCGGCGTGGGATCTTACAGGCTGATCGTATGTTTCACGTCACGGACGACAGCTACACGTCTTCTATAAAAATGAAGCTCATAATGAAATCGTTTATATTACAGGTCATTTTTATAAAATAGACTTTTACTGTTTCACACTTATTACTGGATGACGTCACAAGACTGTAATACTGCTCTCAGCCTACAGGTGGCACCGTTTAGATTCTGACGTCAGCCGTAAACTGAAATTAGAGCCCGCTGGACATCACCGGGTCATGATGTCAGCAGACAGTAAGAGCGTGTGGGAGGGGCCAACGTGACCCATGCACAGAGCCAACAAAGCGTCTTGGGGGACGGGAATTTTAAAAGTTTAAACAGGTCAGGGGATATGAAGGGTCGTCTTTGCACCGACATGTGACACCAGGATCATCTTCCAGCTGCATTAAAACATTATTCTGAGAGTTTTAATAGTCGAGAGCTTTTGGCCGTGAAGTGGAGAAACCGCATCGCTGCAGATGTTCTGAACAGTAGAGCGCCAGCGGATGATCTCCACGATTGGTTATTTGTTCAGATTGAAATCTCTTCTTCTGACATCGAGCGACACGTCCGCGTCACTAAACTTCAGACCAGCTGTTGTGTTCAGCGCAGTGTTCTCGTCTGCTGCTCGACGCAGAGCTTCCTGCGACCCGGGACCTTCAAGGATTCAACATTTTTACTTCGATGCATCTGGAAGGTTTTTTAAGCGAGCTGGCATCACCTGCAGCATGCAGCACGAACACCCCCACTGACAGTGCCTGGGGTGTCCGTGGGGGCGTTCCCGGACCACAGACTGCCCGCAGTGGTAGATGCACGCAGACCGCACCCGAGCGCATCGGATCCTAAATTTGCGATTAAAGGAAACTCTCAGGTGTGATCAGGACTGAGGAAGTGCTTCGCTCATCATCATTCTGTCTCTAGAAATGGTCATCATCACACTGGTCAGACCTGCTGGGTTACCTGCTCCAGTTAACCTGAAACCAGTTAAATACCCACTGTAAGGATCAGAAACCAGAGCTCCCAGCACAGTGAAACACGTTTCACCATCAAACTGACCAAAGTCAGCCACTTGTACTGACGGCAGGAACGCTGCTCTACTCTGTTGGGAGTTTGCCTTGTAATCGGAAGGTTGCCGGTTCGAGCCCCGGCTCGGACAGTCTCGGTCGTTGTGTCCTTGGGCAAGACACTTCACCTACTGCCTACTGGCGTTGGCCAGGGGGGCCGATGGCACAATATGGCAGCCTGGCTTCTGTCACTCTGCCCCAGGGCAGCTGTGGCTACAACTGTAGCTGCCTCCACCAGTGTGTGAATGGGTGGATGACTGGGTGTGTAAAGCGCTTTGGGGTCCCTAGAGGGGACTAGTAAAAGCGCTATACAAATACAGGCCATTTACCATTTGAAGCAGCTTCGGTAACAACCAATGAGAGTGAAGAACAGTGCTGATTGGCTGGCTGTGGACTAGGAAATACACTAGAGCAGGGTTGGGCAACCTCGGCCTCCGGGTCGTGTACGGCTGGCGAGACCAAAGCAATGAAATGTTTGTATTTACATACGCACGAATAAATCAAATATACACGGCTGCGTATGTCCGAGTCAAAATCAGGTGACGTACGCCATCACAGGATCGCCACAGATGATGAAGAGTCGTGGCAGCCGTCAAGAAAACGAAGGTGGACGCTGCGTAGTCCAGGAAATGGACTAATGACGTTTTCTTTGAAGTGAAAGGCGAGCGAGCCGATGTCCAGCGCCATTGCAGCTCGAAACGTGACGAGCGGCGAGAACAAATGCGACTCAACACGAACGCTCTTCGTTGGGGTTTGAGAGCTCAACGAGCGGCTTTCACGCGATCACAGACGGACGGCGAGGATATGACGCGTGCACGTTTTGTAGTGAGTGCGTCGTCACGAAGCTGAAACCTCACGAGGCTTAGTAACACGGCAGCTGTAGACTTTTGTTGGTCTCTCTTTGGTTTGTGTTAACGGTATGACCCTCAGAGAACAGGGGCTCGACCTCTGACCCCTTAGCTTTGAGTTAGGGTTTGGTCAGCTCAGCATCAGGAGCACCGTGTTCGCTGATTCACGTGATTTTTCTGGTGGCGAACAGAAAAAAGCTTTTTTCGGCTAACAGCAGCGAGTGAAGCCGCTGACTTTGTGACGGGTGGTGCAGCGTGTGGGTGGCGCTAAAGCAACATTCATACAGACACACCCACGCGTCCGGCCGCTTGGACACATGAGTGTAAAAATATAACGTCTGCGTAAACGTACTGATCATGTAAGACTCATACAGAAGCTTCTGCACGTCGAGATGCAGCTGGAGTTATGAAGACCGACAACGACGACAAAACGACAACAAACGTAGAAATCACAGGGACCTCCAACGCCCCGCTTCCTGCTGCGAGTCCTAGCTGTCACTGTGGAAGGGGCGGGGCCTGCAACGCCTTAGCCCACAGCTTTGTGTTTCCCGCCGCAGCAGCGGCAGGCCACCCCGCAGCGGTAGCACGCCCTGAGGGGGGCGTAGCAGCACATGCAGGGAGCCAGCAGCGACAGGCCCACCAGCGCCGTCCAGCGCAGGCAGAAACGCTCGTCGGCGGTGTCGCAGGAGCACGGGTCTGAGTAATCCCCCTCCGGATCGGACATGCAGTGGTACAGAAGGCTGTCCGCGCACCACATGAAGGTCACGCGCCGGATGCACGTCTGAATGGGGTCGGGCGCCTCGTGGCAGCGGCCCCGCCCGTTGTCCTCTTGATCGAACATGTCCTGACAGTAAACGCAGCGCGAGCGCTCTGCGTCCTCCTTCCGCAGTTTGCCTTTGAGCTCCGGGGCTCGCGGCTGCACCGTCAGCACCGCCCTGTGGCCGCCGCCCATCTCCAGGCAGCTGGGTTTTCTGTCGCAGCTCAGAGGATACGGGTAGGCGTAGTCGCGTTTGGCCGGCTCGCTCTTGGTAAAGTGCACGCAAGTGTCCGGGTTGTGGAGCTGGGCGAGTTTGTCGCGTGAGGAGTTGGCGTGGCGGTAGTCCTCGTAGCCGGTGAGCCAGGTCCGCTCGCGGGGGTTGATGCGTACGACCTCCTCGTCCTCCAACTGGAAGCTGACGTGACGAGGAAACATATGCACCGCCTGCAGGAGGAGGTGGAGCGTGTTTAAAGGCAGCGTAGGATAAAGCGGTGTTTGTCTGTCACATCAGCAGCACAGTCGCTTTATCATTCTGACCAATTAGAAACCAGACTCTCGCTCTTACCGTACTCACCTGGTCCAGGAAGTAGTGCTCAGTGGGCCGATGCTGCTCATACAAATGTCCCAGGATGCAGTGGTGCCGGCGGGGTTCACAGAAGGTGGGCGGGGTGAGCGTGCGCATCGCTGGCTCTCTCTTCTGGGACGAGTTGGACGAGCTGTCGGTGGCAGTCTGGAGGAGAAAAGGAGAAAAGGTGTTTCCAGAGGAGGCGCTATGCAGCCTGATTAGCGAGGGAAAGTTTCCTGAATCACCATAGTAACTGTAGCATAGTAACACATCACCTGGACAGGAGCAGGTTAAGTTCAAAGGAGCACAGCGTTTTCATTCTTATCATTCTCGGCATCTCTTATATCTTCAGTTCAATTCAGGTTTATTTATATATATCATCAAATCACAGCATGAGTTAATGACTCAGTGCAGAGAGGTCTGTTAACACACGGAGTGAAGAAGAAACACCCAGTGCATCATGGGAATCCCCAGCAGTCTACACCTGTTGCAGCATAACTAAGGGAGGATTCAGGGTCACCTGGTCCAGCACTAACTATATGCTTTAGTAAACAGGAAGGTTTGAAGCCTAATCTTGAAAGTAGAGATTCTGGATTTAACAGGAAGCCAAAACAGGAGAAATCTGCTCTCTCTTTCTAGTCCCTGTCAGGACTCTTGCTGCAGCATTTTGGATCAGCTGAAGGCTTTTCAGGGAGTTTTTAGGACTTCCTGATAATAATGAATTACAGTCGTCCAGCCTGGAAGTAATAAATGCATGAACTAGTTTTTCATGTCCACTGCAGCATATACGTTCCATCCATCTGTAGGACAGGAAGCACTGTGACAGCTGGTGTTGGTCTACATGTCCACTGTCCTGCGAGCGCCTCCCAGTCGAGCTCTTTCCAAGAACTATTTTCCTTAAAAACACACCCATCCTCCGAACTGAAACGATCTGCAGCCACGCTCCTTCCTCTGAGGTCAGCGTTGTAAACCGGCTGCTCACTGACGGATTACTGAATCGTCTCCGGCATCCTGCAGAAACAATACGCCGCTTTCTTTAAAGATGGACAGACGGGACAGAAAGGTCAGGACCTGCAGAGAGTAACTGAAACCTCCGGGAATCAAAGCATGCACACCTCACACCTGTGTTACTGACAGAGCTCCAAGACTGGAAGCCCTCCTCGGTTTTGTTTATACCTGCATGAACTCGAGAGCTCGAGTCCACGGTGTCCACGCAGGTTTGCCTTTCAGCTCCTGGAGCAGGCAGGAGGGGTTTATGGGTGTTTGGCTGCTCTGAGCCTGGTTCTGCCGGAGCTTTCCTGTAAACGGGAGTTCTTCCTTCCCACCATCACCAGATTGCTTGTGCTGTATCTGTGACTAATCCAAACAGGATGGGGACATGTTCCTGGCCATAAACAGGAAACCCACCCCCTCCCGTCCATCACACTTTGCGAGGACATGCGTGTCCTCCCAGTCAGACAAAAATAAATATACCAGCTCCAGTGACTCCTCCACAGATCCTGCCACCATCACAGTGAAGGGCTGGAGGGTCACGTGACTCACCGTGAAGACGTCATCGTCGCCGAGCTCGGCCTCGTTCTGCAGCGTGGACGAGGACGTGGTCGACCCTGGAGTGAGACAGCAGAGAAGCTGATGAGCTACAACGTGAATGCAGATGGAGGCAGAGCTCAAGCTATCGCCACCTACCTTCGGTTAGGTCCTCCAAGGCCTTCCTCACGCCGCGATCAAAGGCGCGGGCATCGGCCGGGCTCTGGAAAGTCAGGCCACACTTCTTGTTGTCCACCTTCCAGTGGTGGAAAGTGGGCGTGGCCTTCGTGTAGACTAGATCCTTCTTTAAGAAGCACTCAAGAATCACCTGATGGTTTCAAAGACATCGGACAAAGAAGACAACAGCGTTATCGAGAAAGATGTCATGGCAGCAACGAGAAACACCGACAGCGTGAAAAGAGTCCTCTGACCTCAACGACTGAATCTAATGATGGAAAAAACTACTTTGGGTTCAAAGGAAAGGACCTCCACGTTCACAAATATCTTCTATCACTCCCTTAAACTGAAGCCAAACTCATCATCAAACCTTTGAGATACTGAAATCTTACAAAAGAACAATTTCTCCCATATTCCATAGTTCATCTCCCGAAAACCTTTCTGAAAATATGATGGAGGTGCAGCTGAGACGGTGGTCCGATTCCTTGGAGCCGTTAGTCTGCTTGCATGTCAATCCCGCTTATTGGTTCTTGCACTTGTGCTACAATCAGCTGATTTCAGAGGAAAATAGGGGCGGTCTGCGTGGACGTGGACGTGGACGTGGACACTACTTTGATTCTTATTGGACTAAAGGACGAGATAATGAAGAAACAACCGCATTATGCTGCTAACACAAGCACCTGCACAGACAGCATGCTAGTGCTAAGCTAGCCGAGAGCCCAGAGTGATGTTAAAGCTGAACTTCAACAGTCTACCTGTTCATGTTTCTACAGTAGAATCACCATGACGACCGTGCTGGTTTCCATCTTTGCTTTGTGTTCATACCTAAACACTAAGAGAACGATCACGCGTGTCATTAGCAACTACCAACCTGTATATTTTATTTATTGTTTACTCTATTTAATATGTAAAATACACACACGTAGAAAATCATATTTAGTACACACATCCAGTAATGCATACACTCTTATATTGTACATATATTTATTACCATCCTTATACTTTGCTTGTTTTATGTTATTGTATTTTTGCACACCTCTGTCGCTTGTGAAGCTCACACACAATAATTTCACTCGCATGTGCTGTACCTGTGTAGCTGCACACGTGATGTGACAATAAAGGTGATTTGATTTAGCGCAGAGGAGCGTGTTGGTGTGTGGGGCTGTGACCTCATGTTGTTAAACTGTGATGATGACACAACGAGTTTCAGCACATTTTATGGAGAAATGCAGAAGTAATGAAGTAAAATACTGAGTTACTTTGAAGTACTCTGAGTAATTAATGACATTTCTTTGAGTAACGAGCCAACACTGAGGGAAATCCCTCCAACATGCACAAACATGTGACCCAGAGCAGAAAGTCTTTGATACGCTGCCGAGTCTCAAACAGGAGCCTGAGACATCTGCAGCGTGTCTCATATATCAGAGCGAAGCTGTGAATGCTCACGTTATATTATTAATAATAACAGAGTAAGCGGTATTTGTCTCCAGAGTCAGGGTCATGTGACGCCGTCCTCTGCAGGAGCTGAGTCCTGGTGCTGAGGGTGCGTGCCGAGGCTCGGGGCTCACCTGCTTGTCTTTAAGACGTTCTCCGTGGATCAGGAATGTGTTACGTCCCAGCAGCTCGGTCGGCAGCAGTCTGCACACGCCCACTCTGCTCAGGCAGCCGTCCTGCGCCAACCAGCCGCCGCTCGACTCGTCTCTGGTCATCACCACCGCTTTGACGCGCACTATGTAGCTATCACTGCAACAGAGAAACAGGAAGTCTGAGCTCTCCTCCTGTGAGGAGAGCCGCAGTTGGGAGATCATGTGACCAGACCGAGCACAATGGTCAATGGTAACTTTATTGTCCCTGATGGGAAATTGATTCGCAGTATGTCAAAACAAACAACAAACATACAACCAACACATCACGTACACTCATTAAAAAATACTATAATATAATATAAGCCTGATAAAACAACCTGGATATTCCATCGAACAAAGTGCAACAACACTCACAATTTAGTGTTGTTAATTAAGATAATACCACTAGGTACAAACGACAATTTGTGTCGCTTTGTCTTCACTGCAGTCATTTTATGACGACGACCTGATGGAAGCAGTTGAAAATCATTAAAGAGAGGATGATCTGAACACAACAGGACAGAGGTCGCCTTCCTCAGCACCTGCCTGTTATAAAAGTCCACAAGCTGGACCTGAGACCTCCCTGAAATCTTGCCCGCCACTTTAACCAGATTGTTAAGTCTGGTCTTATTATCCATGGAC